ATAAGAATACGGCCAAAATATTGGTCATATTCCTACGTGTCTTTCATAGATGCTGATTAATTTTATACTGAATTTCTTACCCTGATCTTACTAGGCAACTCCTCACCTGTTATGGACATTTAAAGGATAGGTTAAACATGAAGATATGTCCCTGATCTCAGAGCTTTCTCTCACCTACCTGTACCTTGTACCAGATTAGAATACGACAAAATATTCGTCTTATTCCAACCTGTCTTTCATAGATTCTGATTTACTTTATACAGAAATTATTACCCTGGTCTTACTCGGCAACTCCTTACCTGTTATGGAGATTCAAAAGATAGGTTTTACATGAAGATATGTCCCTGATCTCAGAGCTTTCTCTCACCTACCTGTACCTTGTACCAGATAAGAATACGGCCAAAATATTCGTCTTATTCCAACCTGTCTTCCATAGATTCTGATTTATTTTATACAGAAATTATTACCCTGGTCTTACCCGGCAACTCCTTACCTGTTATGGAGAATCAAATGATCGGTTTAACATGTAGATATGTCCCTGATCTCAGAGCTTTCTCTCACCTACTTGTACCTTGTACTAGGTAAGAATACGACAAAATATTCGCTATATTCCTTCCTGTGTTTCATAGATGCTGATTAATTTTATACTGAAATTCTTACCCTGATCTTACTAGGCAACTCCTCACCTTTTATGGACATTTAAAGGATAGGTTAAACATGAAGATATGTCCCTGATCTCAGAGCTTTCTCTCACCTACCTGTACCTTGTACCAGATTAGAATACGACAAAATATTCGTCTTATTCCAACCTGTCTTTCATAGATTCTGATTTACTTTATACAGAAATTATTACCCTGGTCTTACTCGGCAGCTCCTTACCTTTTATGGATATTTAAACGATAGGTTTTAACATGGAGATATGTCCCCGATCTCAGAGCTTTCTCTCACCTACCTGTACCTTGTATCAGATAAGAATACGACAAAATATTCCTCTTATTCCAACCTGTCTTTCATAGATTCTGATTTATTTTATACTGAAATTATTACCCTGATCTTACTAGGCAACTCCTCACCTGTTATGGATATTTAAAAGATAGGTTTAACATGAAGATATGTCCCTTTTCTCAAGAGGTTCCTCTCACCTACCTGTACCTTGTACCAGTTATGAAACCGACAAAATATTCGTCTTATTTCAACCTGTCTTTCATAGATTCTGATTTATTTTATACAGAAATTATTACCCTGGTCTTACCCGGCAACTCCTTACCTGTTATGGAGATTCAAAAGATAGGTTTTACATGAAGATATTTCCCTGATCTCAGAGCTTTCTCTCACCTACCTGTACCTTGTACCAGATAAGAATACGGCCAAAATATTCGTCTTATTCCAACCTGTCTTTCATAGATTCTGATTTATTTTATACTGTAATTCTTACCCTGGTCTTACTAGGCAACTCCTTACCTGTTATGGGGATTCAAAAGAAAGGTTTTACATGAAGATATGTCCCTGATCTCAGAGCTTTCTCTCACCTACCTGTACCTTGTACCAGATAAGAATACGACAAAATATTCGTCTTATTCCAACCTGTATTTTATAGATTCTGATTTATTTTATACTGACATTATTACCCTGGTCTTACTCGGCAACTCCTTACCTGTTATGGAGATTCAAAAGATAGGTTTTACATGAAGATATGTCCCTGATCTCAGAGCTTTCTCTCACCTACCTGTACCTTGTACCAGATAAGAATACGGCCAAAATATTCCTCTTATTCCAACCTGTCTTCCACAGATTCTGATTTATTTTATACAGAAATTATTACCCTGGTCTTACCCGGCAACTCCTTACCTGTTATGGATAATAAAATGATCGGTTCAACAGGTAGATATTCCACTGAACTCAGAGCTTTCTCTCACCTACCTGTACCTTGTACCAGATAAGAATACGACAAAATATTCGGTATATTCCTTCCTGTGTTTCATAGATGCTGATTAATTTTATACTGAAATTCTTACCCTGATCTTACTAGGCAACTCCTCACCTTTTATGGACATTTAAACGATAGGTTTTACCTGAAGATATGTCCCTGATCTTAGAGTTTCTTCTCACCTACCTGTACCTTGTATCAGATAAGAATACGACAAAATATTCGTCTTATACCAACCTGTCTTTCATAGATTCTGATTTATTTTATACTGAAATTCTTACCCTGATCTTACTAGGCAACTCCTCACCTGTTATGGAGATTGAAATGATAGGTTTTACATGAAGATATGTCCCTGATCTCAGAGCTTTCTCTCACCTACCTGTACCTTGTACCAGATTAGAATACGACAAAATATTCGTCTTATTCCAACCTGTCTTTCATAGATTCTGATTTATTTTGTTCTGAAATTATTACCCTGGTGTTACTCGGCAACTCCTTACCTTTTATGGATATTAAAAAGATAGGTTTAACAAGGAGATATGTCCCCGATCTCAGAGCTTCCTCTCACCTACCTGTACCTTGTATCAGATAAGAATACGGCCAAAATATTCGTCTTATTCCAACCTGTCTTCCATAGATTCTGATTTACTTTATACAGAAATTATTACCCTGGTCTTACTCGGCAACTCCTTACCTGTTATGGAGATTCAAAACATAGGTTTAACATGAAGATATGTCCCTGATCTCAGAGCTTTCTCTCACCTACCTGTACCTTGTACCAGATAAGAATACGACAAAATATTCGTCTATATTCCTTCCTGTCTTTCATAGATTCTGATTTATTTTATACTGAAATTCTTACCCTGATCTTACCAGGCAACTCCTCACCTTTTATGGACTTTTAAACGATAGGTTTTACCTGAAGATATGTCCCTGATCTTCGAGCTTCTTCTCACGTACCTGTACCTTGTATCAGATAAGAATACGACAAAATATTCGTCTTATACCAACCTGTCTTTCATAGATTCTGATTTATTTTATACTGAAATTCTTACCCTGATCTTACTAGGCAACTCCTCACCTGTTATGGACATTTAAAGGATAGGTTAAACATGAAGATATGTCCCTGATCTCAGAGCTTTCTCTCACCTACCTGTACCTTGTACCAGATTAGAATACGACAAAATATTCGTCTTATTCCAACCTGTCTTTCATAGATTCTGATTTATTTCGTACTGAAATTCTTACCCTGATCTTACTAGGCATCTCCTTACCTTTTATGGACATTTAAAGGATAGGTTTAATATGAAGATATGCCCCTGATCTCAAAGCTTTCTTTCACCTACCTGTACCTTGTACCAGATAAGAATACGGCCGTATTTTCGTTATATTCCTTCCTGTCTTTCATACATTCTGATTTATTTTATACTGGAATTCTTACCCTGATCTTACTAGGCAACTCCTCACCTTTTATGGACATTTAAAGGATAGGTTAAACATGAAGATATGTCCCTGATCTCAGAGCTTTCTCTCACCTACCTGTACCTTGTACCAGATTAGAATACGACCAAAATATTCGTATTAATTCCTTCCTGTGCTTCGTAGATGCTGATTTATTTTATACTGAAATTCTTACCCTGATCTTACTAGGCATCTCCTTACCTTTTATGGACATTTAAAGGATAGGTTTAATATGAAGATATGCCCCTGATCTCAAAGCTTTCTTTCACCTACCTGTACCTTGTACCAGATAAGAATACGGCCGTATTTTCGTTATATTCCTTCCTGTGCTTCGTAGATGCTGATTTATTTTATACTGAAATTCTTACCCTGATCTTACTAGGCATCTCCTTACCTTTTATGGAGATTCAAAAGTTATGTTTTACATAAAGATATGTCCCTGATATCAGAGCTTTCTCTCACCTACCTGTACCTTGTACCAGATAGGAATACGACAAAATTATCGCTATATTCCTTCCTGTGTTTCATAGATGCTGATTTATTTTATGCTGAAATTCTTACCCAGGTCTTACTAAGCAATTCCTTACCTTTTATATAGATTCAAAAGATAGGTTTAACATGAAGATATGTCCTTGATCTCAGAGCTTTCTCTCACCTACCTGTACCCTGTACCAGATTTGAATATATTAAAATAGTTGTCATAATCCTACCTATCATTTAAAGTTGTTGATTTATTTTATACTGAAATTCTTACCCTGGTCCTATTAGGCAACTCCTTACCTGTTATATAGATTCAAAACATAGGTTTAATATGAAGATATGCCCCTGATCTCAGAGCTTTCTCTCACCTACCTGTACCTTGTACCAGATAAGAATACGGCCGTATTTTCGTTATATTCCTTCCTGTGTTTCGTAGATGCTGATTTATTTTATACTGGAATTCTTACCCTGATCTTACTAGGCATCTCCTTACCTTTTATGGAGATTCAAAAGTTATGTTTAACATAAAGATATGTCCCTGATATCAGAGCTTTCTCTCACCTACCTGTACCTTGTACCAGATAGGAATACGACAAAATTATCGCTATATTCCTTCCTGTGTTTCATAGATGCTGATTTATTTTATGCTGAAATTCTTACCCAGGTCTTAAGTACAACTATTTGTAAGAACCAGGCAGGGGGTGATTCATGACCAATTCAGATTTTTACAAAATTTTAATATGTTGCTTCATGGACCAAGGGAACATCATTGGACAACATAATTTTTTTGGCCAGCCTTTGTTGCCATGGAAACAATGCACCATGTAAATGCACATGGCAACCAAGCAAAAAATTGAAAAAAATGTGAATTTAGCTATTATTGAACACAGGAACAGAGCTTTTTTGATGATAGTACCATAAATAAATCTTTTTTTCCTGAGAAGTACATACAAAATGATAAATGATTACCATCAGGATAAAATTATATAGGATTTATTAAAGGTACTGAATTTCAATTTAACATAGGTCATTTCATAAAATTCACTTTTCACAATATTTCTTCAAATCCAACATGTTTTAGAAGCATATTAAGAAAAAGGCCCGCATGTTGAAGAAATCTGATAACATGGGATAGAAAGAGCATATTCTTGATTTTAATAAAATTAAATAAAACCCATGGGTTTTTAAAAAATATTCTGTTACCATGGCAACGAAATGTCACAAAAATTCATTTTTCACAATAATAACCGTTTTTAGGAGCATAGTAAGAAAAATTCCCACATGTTAAAGAAATCTGATTATGTGGAATAGAAAGAGCACTTTCTTAATTTCAATAAAATTAAATTAAACCCATGGGTTTTTAAATAATATTCTGTTACCATGGTAACAAAATGTCACAAAAATTCATTTTTCACAATAATATCCATTTTTAAGAGCACAGTTAGAGAAAATCCCACATGTTATAGAAAACTGAAAGCATGGGATAGAAAGACCACATTCTGAATTCTAATAAAACAAAACAAAACCTATGGGTTTGTCAAAAATATTCTGTAACCATGGCAACAGAATATCACAAAAATTCATTTTTCAAGAAAGTACCAAAATACATCATTTTCAGAGTATGTTGTGGAAAAAATACCAAAAAAATGATAATATAAGATAGAACCTTGCAAATATTAGATAAAACCAGTGGATTTCTCATAAATTTTTGTATCCATGGTAACAAATTCTTCTGGAAATGCTTTTTTAAATAAATTGTCTTTACAAAATCTCCATAAAATACAAAATAATTATTGACTAACATACATGTATTATTTTCACAGTTTATTGTAAATGCATGAAAATATATATTTTTTAAATATGCTTTTGTGATTTGTATCTGGTTACCATGACAACATCTCCAAAAATATTGTATTTGCCTATACAATTTAGCCAATGTGATTAGCTTGTATGAAGAAAACTGTACGAGTGGCCATTAGCTAAAATATTGAAAGACACAACATTTTTTTTGTACCTTACTTATTTTAAACAAATATTTGGTTTCTGTGGTAACTGTGATTAACCATTTATGAGACATGATCTAAATATTTCAATTGTATTTTTAAAGCAATTTTTGAAAAGTCATCTGTAAATGTATTTTTTGCTGAAATATATATTGTTTACAGTAAAGAAATCTTGAAAAAATGTCAATATAACATTATAAAGTGTATCAAATGTCAAAAAATCCATGTTCTTGACTAGATAGGCAAACAAAAATTCAAAATTTTATGTTGAAGGGGTGTAATATTCAATGTCCTTGAGTGTATCCTGGTCTTGGTTTCAATAAAACCCCTTTTACATTTGGAGGAGCTTAAAAATCAATATCATTTGTTTCTTGTCTGGATTTCTTTCAAAAAGTTTTAAACTGCCAGTGTCTTTATTAGATTTTTTTGGCCATCATTTAGAAATGTGCTGTTGAGATTATCTGTATCATACATCTATGTGTCCTGGCTGCTAAGTAGGTGCTCCAGCTAATTTCCTCTGATATAATGCATGTGGTTCATTCATCAATCTGGAAAAAATATAATTCAAAATTTGAACTTTGTTAATGAAAATAGGCATTCCATAAAGCAATTTTTTTCTTGTTGCTGTTGAAGGAAGAGAGTAGCTAAGGTTCATTTTCTCTATGATCATGATCATGAATACAAGAAGGCCATGGTCCATAACACTCACCAGAGTAACTGGTCATGCTGTTTAGATATGCTGCATTTTATAAATTTAATTTCTAACTTTCTACTGATTTTAGTTTCCAATATTCAAAGAAACATTTGTATGGATTGAACAAAATAATGAAAATGACACTGTGTTACATTTACAATAATACATCTTTTACTCCTATTTGGCTTCCACATACATGTAACTGCAGTAAAAATTGTTTAGTACATACACGGACATTGTGAATTCACAGATATAGTGAAGTCTTCTTGGATCCCCAACTATATAAATATTACAAATTAAAAATATGGATATAACAAATTATGGATATAGCGAAGTACTTTTACAGGTCCTAGTTTGTTATAACCGAGTTGTACTGTACATATATGTGTAGATAAATGATTTAACAAGAGACCCAGGGCCACATCACTCACCTGGCTTGGATAAAAATCAAAAATCAGCTTTGTAATGAAAAGCTTAAAAGCATATGTGGTCCTGACCTGAGAGAGAGGGAGGGGTATGATTGAACATAACTGAATCTACACTAAGGATGCTTACGGGGTACTTATTTTTGACTAACTGCGAGTTTTTCCCTACAAGTTTGAACTTTAATTGTGGCCCCACCCTATACCTGAGGGGGGTGTCATGATTTGAACAAATCTACACTACGAGAAAATGCTTCCATATGTATATATAACTTACTGGCTTTTCTTTTCTTTAGAAGATTATTTCTATTATAGGATTGTTTCTCTAATTCTTATGTAAAACTTTGATTGGCCTTTGTGGTCCCACCCTATCCCCGGGATCATGATTTGATCAAACTTGAATCTACATCACCTGAAAATGCTTTCATATAAATATTACCAATCAAGGCTTGCTGTATCCGAGAAGAAGATTTTAAAATATTTTTTTTATATATTCCTATGTTAAAAACTTAAACTTTGATCATCCATTGTGGCCCCGTCCTACACCTGGGGTTCATGATTTCAAAAATTTGAATCTACACAACCCGACAATGGTTACCACATAAGTTTCATATTTCCTGGGCCATTGGTTCTTGAGAAGATATCATTAATGCTATTACCGGGGTAATTTTGTAATTCTCTCCCCTTGAAGAATGACAATGACAGACAAAAGACAAACTTTGATCAGAAAAGATCACTTGAGCCTTCGACCCAGGTGAGCTAAAAAATTCAGAGAATCAAGATCAGAAGAAATACCTGTTTCAAAGTCTCTGAATGGCAGTGTTCACTATAATTCAGCCATTAGTCAGAAGGTCCTTGATTGCTAAACGAAAAGGAATGTTCTTAAATAATGATAATTTAAGAAAACTGCAAGTTGTCAACACAAAATACTGAATTATCTAATGATACATAATTAATATAAAGTATATATAACACTAACGTTAGTTGAATTGATAATCTTTTCTTGGTGACGGTTGTCCTCAATTTTTAAATTTACATTACCTCAGCTGTGCAGGTGTTGTCAAAGGGGATTTTGAAATTCAGAACAAGGCTCAGATTGCATCTAAAATGATAACAAATCATGAAATTCATCATATGACAAGAGAATGCATACATTTATATAACAATTTAGCTTTTGAATTATTGATAATAAATTTTTATTTAGCCCCCCTCCCCATGTACTAGTGATATCATCATGAATTCATACTATTAGTTATAAATTGAAAAAGAGTTTTAGTTTTGTTGGATCAAATTTTATTTTTTAAGTTTTAAACCTAAATTAGACAAAAACATTGGCAGAAACCCATGCATATTGTATGTGCTCTCATATTTATAAATCTCTCTCTTTCTATGTGTGTATATATTTGCTTGTAGGAAAATTTGGGAAGCCCCCCCCCCACCCCCATTCGGATAGGGTTTTATGGTTTTTTTCAGATTTTTTGGGGAGGTTAACACCCCCCCCCCCTGTTTCAACTGATAAAACCATAACAGTATTTTATTGGTTGTTTTGCTTGTCAATTAAATTTTGTAGGACTCCCCACCCTTATTTATAATTCAAATAAAAGGAATTGCATTTGAAGAATATCATACACATATTGTTTGGAAATATAGAGTTTGAAAGGGCACAATTTTACATTTTGATTAAATGAATAAGAAAAATATTCATATGGTTTTGCCATAACATCTGGGTTTTTTTTTCAGGGCTTAATTAAATATTCACGATTTTAAGAAGGACCCATTGGCCATTCCGAAAACAGATTTTGAAATCTGACCGCCGGAGACGCACACATTTTGCCGTGGGCTTACCAATTTGCTCATATCGATGCTCAGCTGGACTTGTTTAATGTCTTTATTAATTCAAATTTATTAATTTGATTAATCGCTTCCGAATCAACTAATGGTATCATGAGCAGTACAGGATTTGTGATTAAAAGGGGGGAAGAGGGGGAAAGGGGGGGGGGCGTGGCTAACTTTATTCAGGCAAGGGGTCCTGATAGTGATGATCCAAAGTACAGTCATTTGTTAGTCATACCATAGTTTGAATGAAGGGGGTCCAGGGGGCAAAGCCCCAGAAGCTCCTGAGATTTCGTGTGTTTAAGAGTATAAAATTAGGCAAAAATAGTGGTATTGTACGAAAGTATGGCATTATTAATATAATTTTCTATGACTTTCCTACAGCAAAACATGGACACTATTATATTCATATGGGAGGCCAGAGGTATAAATTTGCTCATTGCTCACAGTACCTCTAGTTTCAAAAATCAATTTTACAAAAGACAATTATTTTCTCAGGCTGGTAGATTTTTAGCAGGACTGATAACTTTTACTAGCAGTCAGTCTGTATGTTTGCTATCAATTTTTCTTGACTTTCCCCTTTTTCAATTTGAAAAAAAAATAGTCAATAGTGTCTTTGTTCAGACAGTAGTCTGTGTTATATATTAAATACCTGATCTAAATATGAGATCCATAGAGGCGCCGAGACATAGAAAAAATTATGCTCCATCCAATCTCTGCTGTGGCTTTCACTGCTTCTTGCTATGACTTCATGTATGCTGAGGTCGAGGACTTCTTCCAGTCGACTGTGTATATTGCAGCACTAAGGGAGTATCGACGGAAAGGAGAGATACTCATCATACTGTAATCCCCAGCAGCGAGCTACTGTTCAAATTCCAGTACAAAATTAAATGTTTTTTCCCCCAAATTAACTGATTTAAGTAGTTTTGATGTTATTGTTAAATAAGTTAGCCTTTTTCAAAACACTCAAACTCTGTTCTCATTTAGCATGTTTAGGAAATAAAATCTTGTTTTTGTCAGATAAAATTAACCAAATTGCAGGCAGTTATTTTTTTTTATCATAGGCTTATATTTTTCTAATAAAAATTTTTGACTTACATGCCCCTTGGATGTATAAAAACCGGCAAAACTTCCAAAATGAAGATGAAATCACACACATTTCTTAATCCTCACCTTCTAAACTGAAGAGTTAAATTACACTCTTTCCAACTCCTTTTACTAAAGAGTGCCAAGGGAGATAACTAGAATTTCATGTTTTTACATAATTTAAAATCACAATATCTATTCGTAATTAAAATAACCCATGGGTTTTTTAATTGTTTTTTACTCTTTGATACTAGATGTTCAATATCTTATAATTCACATTCAAGGAGAGTGCTGGCCTTCTTAAAAAATCACCTGCACGTACAGACACCTTTCAATGGATATTGTTGACTGTTTCAATATCTATTAAATTAATTTTTTAATCAACTATGCATGAAATCCATTTATAACTGTGATCAAGTATTTAGTTTGATGTATCTTAATGTAAGTATGATAGTTTTTGAAAAATCTATCACTATCATGAATCACTTATTTTCATTTCTGCCTGGTTCTTATAAATAGCTGTACTTAATAAGCAATTCCTTACCTTTTATATAGATTCAAAAGATAGGTTTAACATGAAGATATGTCCTTGATCTCAGAGCTTTCTCTCACCTACCTGTACCCTGTACCAGATTTGAATACATTAAAATATTTGTCATAATCCTACCTATCATTCATGGATGCTGATTTATTTTATACTGAATTTCTTACCCTGATCTTACTAGGCAACTCCTTACCTGTTATGGAGATTCAAAACATAGGTTTAACCTGAAGATATGTCCCTGATCTCAAAGCTTTCTTTCACCTACCTGTACCTTGTACCAGATAAGAATACGGCCGTATTTTCGTTATATTCCTTCCTGTGTTTCATAGATGTTGATTTATTTTATATCATAATTACCCTTATGTTGGAGGGTTCCTCTAACCTACCTGTATCTTGTACTAGCTTGTAATCCAGGACGAAATTAGAACCAGGTTTCAGTTCACTTACCTCTAATCAATTTAAGTATTATTACCACCCTACCCTTTAGACACATCAGAATATAATACACTTATAATAGATATCAGAATTTACTTCTCACACCTATAAACGGCCACATACCATATTCTGGTACTTTAACTAACCTACCTGTCAAAAAATACTTGATAAGAACACTACTACCTGAAACATGTACCATACTTTAGTTCAACTTCCTTCAACAAGTATAAGATATATACAGTATACAATCAAAATCTAGTCCTTGAACCATCAGTCCTCTTATATATACCTAAGTTAAACACACCTAACTCTTACAGGTACCAGATATGTATACAATGTACTTCTAGTATTTTAAGCCTCCTAACTCCGACAGGTGTCTGATTTTAAAATACCTACCTGTAAGAGGTGATACTATTTCTACCTCTAACTAGTACTTGGCTATTGTCAACTGAACTACAGCAAGAAAGATGGGAATATTATTGAAAATATTTCCAATAGGTACCAAAACATTGTCAAAATGTATTTGTCAAGTGCCTTTTATCACATGAAATAGCCTGCGTCTTGGATATTGGCCTGAACAGCAAGTCGGTAGAGCACTTGTATTAAGTGATGCAAGGGTTCAGAGTTAGATTCCTAGACCAGCCATAAATTTTTTCCTTACCATTACATCATGTAAATCTCGAGTCTATGGAGAGAACAATCATGGACATTTATGTCTGCTATTCATTCAAATTCAATGAATATAGTATATTTTAAATCAAATCTCTAATCTATAATGAAATACTCAATTCTAATTACATATACTCTCCTCCAATGACTTACAAATTTATGACACTTATGTGTAACTCTTTTCGAAAGTAATTTATGGCATAGTTTTGATAAGTTCAAATCAACTGAATTTAAGAAATGTTTTTGCACTGGTTTTGCATGCATGTTAATATATATCAAGATAGGACTTTCCCATAAATTTTTCAATTTAGATGAATCGATTTTCATAAGTATTTGAAACAATACCCTTTTTAATTTCCTACTCCGCATTTAAATATAAGCCACAGTGTAAAGTCAATTAAACTATAGAACAGTTCAAAATCACTGAAAAATTGAATTGGAACATAAATAACAAATATCAGGTAAATCTACATGCACTTGATGGTGTATTTTTATTTTTTATCTCAGATATGCCACATGGTTCATTTCACATTTTTCTGCATCTATTTCAGACTTACTTCCATTTCCTCCTACGCCTTATCAAGGCCATTGATCACAGATACTTATCAATCATTAATTTAGGTAAATAGCATGCTAAAGTTCAATCATTGAAATGGTTTACTATATATATTATATATATAATCCCTTTAATGCTGTCTATCCAACAATGCAAATGTAAATTTTTTTGTTTATGTTTTGTATCAATATTGATAAAAATATTCAATACATGTATGTTCTAATATTAAGTAGATCATAATTCAGGTCATTGTTACATCTTATCAGTTTCAGAACATTACAAATTTAAATACAGGTTGAAGTAAATGCTTTTTTCAGAAATGTTAAATCATATACCCTATTAGCTATAATTGTAAAATCAATATCTTTGGTCGTAGTCTTATCTAGTACAAGGTACAAGTAGGTGAGAGAAAGCTCTGAGATCAGGGACATATCTTCATGTAAAACCTATCTTTTGAATCTCCATAACAGGTAAGGAATTGCCGAGTAAGACCAGGGTAATAATTTCTGTATAAAATAAATCAGAATCTATGGAAGACAGGTTGGAATAAGACGAATATTTTGTCCGTATTCTTATCTGGTACAAAGAACAGGTAGGTGAGAGAAAGCTCTGAGATCAGGGACATATCTTCATGTTTAACCTATCCTTTAAATGTCCATAAAAGGTGAGGAGTTGCCTAGTAAGATCAGGGTAAGAATTTCAGTATAAAATAAATCAGAATCTATGAAAGACAGGTTGGAATAAGACGAATATTTTGTCGTATTCTTATCTGATACAAGGTACAGGTAGGTGAGAGAAAGCTCTGAGATCAGGGACATATCTTCATGTTAAAACCTATCGTTTAAATGTCCATAAAGGTGAGGAGTTGCCTAGTAAGATCAGGGTAAGAATTTCAGTATAAAATAAATCAGAATCTATGAAAGACAGGTTGGAATAAGACGAATATTTTGTCGTATTCTAATCTGGTACAAGGTACAGGTAGGTGAGAGAAAGCTCTGAGATCAGGGACATATCTTCATGTTTAACCTATCCTTTAAATGTCCATAAAAGGTGAGGAGTTGCCTAGTAAGATCAGGGTAAGAATTTCAGCATAAAATAAATCAGAATCTATGAAAGACAGGTTGGAATAAAAGGAATATTTTGTCGTATTCTTATCTGATACAAGGTACAGGTAGGTGAGAAGAAGCTCTCAGATCAGGGACATATCTTCGTGTTAAACCTATCGTTTTAATGTCCATAAAAGGTGAGGAGTTGCCTAGTAGAATCAGGGTAAGAATTTCAGTATAAAATAAATCAAAATCTATGAAAGACAGGTTGGAATATGACGAATATTTTGTCGTATTCTTATCTGGTACAAGGTACAGGTAGGTGAGAGAAAGCTCTGAGATCAGGGACATATCTTCAGGTAAAACCTATCTTTTCAATCTCCATAACAAGTAAGGAGTTGCCGAGTAAGACCAAGGTAATAATTTCTGTATAAAATAAATCAGAATCTAGGAAAGACAGGTTGGAATAAGACGAATTTTTTGTCGTATTCTTATTTGGTACAAGATACAGGTAGGTGAGAGAAAGCGCTGAGATCAGGGACATTTCTTCATGTTAAAGCTATCTTTTGAATCTCCATAACAGGATAGGAATTGCCGAGTAAGACCAGGGTAATAATTTCAGTATAAAATAAATCAGAATCTATGAAACACAGGAAGGAATATAGCGAATATTTTGTCGTATTCTTATCTGGTACAAGGTACAGGTAGGTGAGAGAAAGCTCTGAGATCAGGGACATATCTTCATGTAAAACCTATCTTTTGAATCTCCATAACAGGTAAGGAGTTGCCTAGTAAGACCAGGGTAAGAATTTCAGTATAAAATAAATCAGCATCTATGAAAGACAGGTTGGAATATGACGAATAGTTTGCTGTATTTTTATCTGGTACAAGGTACAGGTAGGTGAGAGAAAGCTCTGAGATCAGGGACATATCTTCATGTTAAACCTATCTTTTGAATCTCCATAACAGGTTAGGAGTTGCCGAGTAAGACCAGGGTAATAATTTCTGTATAAAATAAATCAGAAACTATGGAAGACAGGTTGGAATAAGACGAATATTTTGGCCGTATTCTTATCTGGTACAAGGTACAGGTAGGTGAGAGGAACCTCTTGAGAAAAGGGACATATCTTCATGTTAAACCTATCTTTTAAATATCCATAAAAGGTAAGGAGTTGCCGAGTAAGACCAGGGTAATAATTTCAGTATTAAATAAATCAGAATCTATGAAAGACAGGTTGGAATAAGACGAATTTTTTGTCGTATTCTTATCTGGTACAAGGTACAGGTAGGTGAGAGAAAGCTCTGAGATCAGGGACATATCTTCATGTTAAAACCTATCTTTAAATCTCCATAACAGGTAAGGAGTTGCCGAGTAAGACCAGGGTAATAATTTCTGTATAAAGTAAATCAGAATCTATGAAAGACAGGTTGGAATAAGACGAATATTTTGTCGTATTCTAATCTGGTACAAGGTACAGGTAGGTGAGAGAAAGCTCTGAGATCAGGGACATATCTTCATGTTTAACCTATCCTTTAAATGTCCATAACAGGTGAGGAGTTGCCTAGTAAGATCAGGGTAAGAATTTCAGTATAAAATTAATCAGCATCTATGAAACACAGGAAGGAATATAGCGAATATTTTGTCGTATTCTTATCTAGTACAAGGTACAAGTAGGTGAGAGAAAGCTCTGAGATCAGGGACATATCTTCATGTTAAACCTATCTTTTGAATCTCCATAACAGGTAAGGAGTTGCCGAGTAAGACCAGGGTAATAATTTCTGTATAAAATAAATCAGAATCTATGGAAGACAGGTTGGAATAAGACGAATATTTTGGCCGTATTCTTATCTGGTACAAGGTACAGGTAGGTGAGAGAAAGCTCTGAGATCAGGGACATATCTTCATGTAAAACCTATCTTTTGAATCTCCATAACAGGTAAGGAGTTGCCGAGTAAGACCAGGGTAATAATTTCTGTATAAAGTAAATCAGAATCTATGAAAGACAGGTTGGAATAAGACGAATATTTTGTCGTATTCTAATCTGGTACAAGGTACAGGTAGGTGAGAGAAAGCTCTGAGATCAGGGACATATCTTCATGTTTAACCTATCCTTTAAATGTCCATAACAGGTGAGGAGTTGCCTAGTAAGATCAGGGTAAGAAATTCAGTATAAAATTAATCAGCATCTATGAAAGACACGTAGGAATATGACCAATATTTTGGCCGTATTCTTATCTGATACAAGGTACAGGTAGGTGAGAAGAAGCTCGAAGATCAG